GGGGGGGGTTGATTTCCAGACCATTTTTTTTCATTTTTTTTTGGCTTTGAGACCGCAATCACAGCTACACAGGGTCCGAGTTTCAATTGCAGTTGGAACTCGGCCGTATGCAGTTCGGTCAGGGTCCTTGTCTATCCACGAACGGCAGACAAACAGTAAAAAAGAAAAAACATCCCTTATGCTGTGATTGCGGTCCGATACAGGATGCTACACTGCAGCTACAGTACTTGTCTGGAACTCAATGAAGCGTGGAATCCGCCCTGACCGGCTGGCAGGGCGCTACAGGGACCTCACAACAAGAAACAAAAATGAGAACTACCTATTTCATGTTCGTCACTTCCTGGCCAGATACATTCCTCAAAGCACTGGCGACCTGAGGTTCTTCCCGACGTAGGTGGATTCGAAGTTCCTCGTTTCTTTACTTTTTTTATTTCTTTTTTTTTTTTTTTTTTTTTGGCCTCCATCCCTGCCCCGAGCCCCCGACTTTTTCGGAGTGGTCTACTCTTGAGACTTCGCGTTTGCCTATGAGGGGTATAATGCCTGCCCATCTCGGCTGTGGGCAGTCCGGGGTGTGGCCGAGACATCTCGGCCGTGGCCCAACCATGGGGCTGTTTTTTCAACAGCAGAAAGGCGCGGCATGCGACAAAAAAAAAAAAAAAAAAAAAAAAAAAAAACGAAGAAAGAAAGAAATGGCCCGCCGCGCGGCGCAGGACCAAAAAAAATAAAATTACCGTCTCCAACGCCATACAGACTGCAATTACCGTTGGGGTTGTGACAGGTTGGACGCGACGGACGACACTCATGCAAAGAAATTCTGATTTTCTTCCCTTATGTTTTTTTCTTTTTATTAAAAAAAAAAATCACGGAAAAACGGCTGTCAGTTCCGTCGTTTTCTACTTCAGAAGTAAAAGAAGAGAAAATTTTGAGAGATCGCGACCCTCATCATGACTTAATCTGGCCTGCAAGAACCCTACCATTCACAGAGTGTTGCACAGGTTACTAGAAGTCATTTTGAAACAGAAAACGGCGCATTCATGCAAATAAAAATTCACTTTGTATTTTAAAAAAAAAAACGCAAAACTGTGTCACACCTCGTCCAACACATTGCAAGTGGGTCCAGGCCCATGATTCCAGTATGTTTTCCGAAGGGTCATTCCAAAAAAAATAAATAAATAAAAAATAAAAATAAAAAAAAATCACAAAACAGCACTGTTCTGAAACCAGCATTGTTCTCATTCTGTTCCCTTTTCTTTTTTTCTTTTTTTTTTTAACAAGATATGGAAAAACAAAGAATACAACAATTGAAAAAACAAAAAAAAATAAAAAGATGCAACATAGGTTACGCACTTCTGCTCAGCGCTCACCTCACCGCGCAAGGTCGCGCTGTTAACTTGTGACAAGTGCACGCGACGTGGAGGCCTCTTCAGCAGATCAGCAATAGTCATCCTGCAAGCCTCGTGTCGACTCGGCGGCACTGTGGCACTGAGTCCACTGACCCACACGTTGAGTTTTCTGAACAAATCAACGGTAGGTGGGACCATGGGACCACAGGATCATGCTTGGAAACGCCGGTGCCACGTGAGACTGAAGGCTTGCTGAACAGATGTGCAAGCCTTCGGTGCCACATTCTTTTGTAGTGTGGTGGCACCGGCGGGCAGTGTGCGGTCACTGTCCAAGACAGTTATGGGTTGCTCCGTTTTCCACGACGGTGCATGTGTGTGCACAATGCACATATCTGTCTCCGTTTGTTTGTTTCGTTTTGTTTCACTTTTTTTTTTTTTTCCTGATTTCTGTTTCTGTTTTTTTTTTTTTTTTTGGTGCCGATCTATGCTTGGCCTTCCACAATTCAGACCCCAAATTCGAGTTTCAGGGTCAGAGCCTCAGAGGCCTGGGCCAAGAAAGGCCTAGTTGCAGTAGGATTGACACATGGCATGCCGGATTACAGACTATCTGATTCTAAAATGCTAAAGGACGCTGGACCCGGTTTCCAGCAGGTGCTGCTCCCCAGCGATAGACGGAGCCACCCCGAGCATGCTAGTGGTGTCTGCTCTTATCAGCACCCCCAGCATTCATTCGGGTTGTGTTAAAAAAACAAAAAAAAAAACAGAACATAGTCGGGTAGGCGGCCGGGTGCGGGGCAGCGGGGGTCGG